AGGGCCTGGAGAGAGAAGGATGATTTAACGTTTTAGTTTTCAAAAATGTCAATCTTTGATTCAAAATGTTACTATTTTAAATTATTGTTGGTCACTGTAAAAACAAATGTTCAAGTTGTCATCGAAAACTCACCTGTTCACCATTGCCTTTGACCCCTAACCCATCACAGTCCCCCTGCTTCCACTCCCACTGCTATTTATTTAATGTTTTACTTTATTATTTGCCCCACTTGTTTGTTTGTTTGTTTGTTCACAGCAAGTAAAGCGGCCTTGAGTCCCTTGAAAGGCGCTATAAAAATTGAATCTATTATTATCATCATCTACATATATAATATTTGGTATTCATAAAAAAGAAAGTTCTTGACCGCTTGAAAATGTTTCTGATAAAAAATGAAATTGTAAACTAGAAGCATCTATTCTCTCCATAACAATTTCAATAGAAACTGAATTTATTTCAAGACTGTTTATATTCAATTACATTTAACTTAGTTCCTAATAAATGGCAACTGAGTGTGACTGTATTCTACCTTTCTAATGTCCTCCAGGAAGGCAGCCTTGTCCCCGCTGAATTTGACCCCCTGTGGCCCTGAGAGGCTGCGGCTGGCCTCCACTCGCTCATCCTTTAGAGAGGACAGGCATCTGGCAAAGACAGCCTCACCTGAAGTACAGAGAAGGGAGAGACAGGGGGAGCGGGGGGAGAGAGGCGGCACAGACAGGGACAACAAAGTTAGCTCTCTAAACACGTCACTTTATTGGAGCTTCACACAATAACATCTTGGTAAAAAGCTATTTAATAGTCCTGTCACCTGACACAACAAATGATGTCACAGGTTAGGCTAACCCAGGCCATAGCAACATCATGCTGACATAGAAACAATTCCCAAGGATCAGCATGACTCAGCAAAAGTGACGACACAGTTTTAAAAAACAGGGCTTGCCACTTCTACTTCAGTGCCAGAGGGGACATTACAATGGATAATTATAATCACCGCTGTATCAAGATAAGGGGAAAGCAACTGGTCAATCAGCATGACTCGCCAAAGAGCAGCACTGCCAGATGAGGCAATCCTCAGACCAAGGGGCAGAGGGACAGAGAGAAAATGTCCAGAGAGGGAACTGTTCTGATGAGGAAAGTACACTGCACACTGTACCGGCCTGTCTGCCTGCTCCACTGAGACTGGATCAGCTCTCACACAATGAAGCCCTTTGTAATGCCTCTATCTCTCTTTATATACAGCACTGCAAGGGATTGAGGAAACAAATATTTAAAAAAATAAATCTAGTGTTGCAGGGATTTGGTGACAGGCACGTTTCTGCATGATTGAACTTTGACTAAAAGTGTATCATGCATGTCCTTTTAAGTTACACTACGCATTAAAAGTATCTGTTTAGACGCACAGGACATACAATTATGACACCTTTTGTTCCGGATAATTACTCTTGCTACATGACTTCCTTGTCCATTGCTGTTTATAAAACAGAGACGTTCAGAGCAAAGAGCAAAGCTGAGGAAAGTATCACAAATCCCCCTTATGTCACTTAAGATGCGCAGCCCTCTAGGAAAGCCTTCAATCTTCTTAGTGGCAGCCACATATCATCACGTTCTCTTAAAGAAGATCACAGGCCATGCTAAACTTCAGCCAAAACAACTCATTATTAGGCCTATCGTTTTTTGAAGCAGTGTTGAATGTAAGATGAAAATACAATGTGACCCCATTTACAATATAATAAAAACCAAACAATTCCTAGGTACTAAGGAACACAGAAGAAACGTAATACATTAAGCAATTTACATTTAGGAAGAATTAATCAATTAGAACAACTGGAAGTATAACAAAAACGGTAAAGAGCAATTTGGGTAAAAGCTTTACATTTTCCTGCACATGTTGTTCAATGATGCAGGTGCACAAAGAGGTCAACTGTATTTTCCAATGCTCATTTGTGACATAATGTCCTTTGCCATTTTATGACAAACCAAGCTTACTGGAAGTTGCCAGCACTGGAAGAAGAGAGAAGGAAACCAGATACTTCCTTGTCTAAAACCTCCTTTCTTTTTTTTACCGATCAGAGTCACAGGTGTGCCGTACTCCAGGGCTGAAATGGCCGTCCACTTCCCCGTGCCTTTCTGTCCGGCACTGTCGCGGATCTTGGGCAACAGATGTGTGTTGTCGGAGTCACGGAATTTTAGGATGTTGGCTGTTATCTCGATCAGGAAGGAATCCAACTCTGTCTTGTTCCACTTGTCGAAAGCCTGAGGGATTTATCGAGTGTGATGAGACAGTCAGCCACATAAATCATCTTCAGTTGATTTTAAAGAGCTGGAAGGAAGCATCAATTACTAATAAAGAATAGATAGTGTAGCTAACCTGTGCCATCTCATCGTGGTCCATTCCCAGGACATCCTTCATCAGGTGGTAGGCCTCACAAATCAGCTGCATGTCTCCATACTCAATGCCATTATGGACCATTTTCACAAAATGACCTGCACCCTCATCTCCAACCTGTACAAGCAAGCCAGTCAGATTTAGTTTGTGAGACGACACAAAAACAACTGGTACAACTTAGAAAATATAAAAAAACTCACCCAGTCACAACAAGGCTCTCCTGTTCCCACCTTGGCAGCGATGCTCTGGAAGATGTCTTTTATGTGTGGCCTTCAAAATAAAGCAGCAGAAAGTGATTTCATTGTTTCCTTTTTTTCCTAAGTGTGCCTTTTGTCCAACATGTAGCGTGAAGTGAAAGTGAGAGCAGTTAAGAAGTTTATGCTGTCTTACCAGGCCTCTTTATGTCCTCCCGGCATCAGTGAGGGTCCATAGCGTGCCCCCTCCTCTCCACCACTGACTCCACTGCCAACAAACAGCAAGCCCTTTGCCTTCATACTCTGACACCGCCGCTGTACGACAGAAATAAACAAACATAATGAGAAAATCCAAAGAGAGAAAACAATGTACTGCTCGACAGTGATTCTGTGCAACTTACTGTTGTGTCTCTGTATTCAGAGTTGCCACCATCAATGATGATATCCCCGGACTCAAGAAGAGGAACCTGAAGAACAACAAAGCCAGTTGAAGTAACCAGGTAAGACTCATTTTTTCTTAAGGGATTCATGCACAGTTCAGCACAGAAACTATACCAACCAGTTTGTCAATGAAGTCGTCCACAGCCTGTCCAGCCTTAACCAGCAGGACGATCCTCCTGGGCTTCTTCAGCTTGGACACCATGTCCTCCAGAGACTCAGCTCCAATCACCTTGGAGCCCTTCGCCTCATTTTTCAGGAAGTCGTGCACCTTGGACACAGTTCGGTTGTAGGCGCAGACCTGTTGGAGGAAAGGCTTGGTGATCACTGAGTGAACTTAAGAAGAGTAAAGTAGAAAGAGTTTTACTGCCATATATATTTGGACTAAACACATAAGTCACCATCTTACCACAAAGCCATGGTCATTCATGTTCATGATGAGGTTTTGGCCCATGACAGCCAAACCAATGAGTGCAATGTCTGCTCTGTGAGGAGAAGAGAAATAATCACATTTACTGGGCGTCTGTCTGGTCACAGACTGAGCATCAACAACGACTTTAATAAAGCTTCCCATCATAATATCTGACTTTTCAGATGAAATACATTTGAAACAATGTATGTTGAACCCGTATGTTTAAAATCTATTTTTTACAAAAACATAAACAACGCTTTTTGGGTTATTTTCACGCTGAGACATATATCTCTACTCAACAGTAAAACTGGTTAGCCAACAAGCTAACTAATCAGGAAGATTATTTAAAAACAAATGAAACCACTACAAAGTCTACAGTGATTCAACCACATGCATCACCCACAACCTTTCAAAATTAACCGACTATCTAAATAAGTAAAAACTAGTCTGAGAACTTACTGAGCCATGGTTTTCAGAGGGTTAGGAAGTCGTGAAGTAACACTGGTCAAATGACTGTCAGGCTCCTCTTCACTTCATATATCTCCTGCTCGCTCGTTTTACTTCCTCAACGTGACGACGGCGAGGACAAGCTCACGTACGCCTTCTCACAGTATTCACCAATCAGACTACGGCCAGCAAACTGAACTGATGTTTTTGCGAATTCTCATTGGTCCAAAATCCTGAGCAGAGATATTCGTTATCCTATTGGCCCTAGCGCCCGTCACACATAACACGTCAGAGCACACCCTCTTTAGAGTTAATGCATCCATGGTTGGAGAGCCGTATATATTTAACAAAAGCTGTGTAGCTATCGGGACAGCAACACAGATGTTTGTGTCCAAATCAAGCTAATGTCAGTTATTTCATTAAGTGCCGTACTTAACGTGTACTTATACTTGTACTACATTGCAATAATAGAATAGGCTTTATTGGCATGACGTTTGACTTGAGTTGCCAAATAATCAAAAGTAACAGTGAGTAACAATAGCCTACTAGTTATTAAAAAAAGATAATGAAAATAGTAAATGCAATTAAATAATAATCATGATATTAAGCTTGTGTTGGTGTTGGTACAATCACATTGTTAATTTCCCTAAAATCTAAAAATAATATATTATATACTATATATTATATATATATATATATATGATGAGATATGGTGGTAAATTGAATATTGAAACAACTACTATAAATGTCTTTAGGTCTATTTCCTATAGTGTTATTTTGCTCTGGCACGTATTGCAGTCAACACAGTACTATATTTATTTTCACCTACAATCAGGGGTTATTTCTCCCTTTCAGAATTAGAAGCAATTCATTTTAAGATTTTGCCACAAAAACACAAACGCACAGGTTACTAAGTAATAATTAAGAGACATGATTGATTTTGTCCAAAATAAGAAATAAGATGTTAAAACAAAACATACTACATAAATACAAGTTACTATGACAAACCACATTTTTGTTCCTGATAAAGATGCTTTTAAAGCACACAGGTATGAGGAATGTGTACCATGTAAAACAAACAGATGGGAGTCAACCTGCATAAAGGATAAGACAAACACACAGCACTTGTTCTGCTAATGCACAGTTTGCACTTTTATTGTTGCCTCATTCACTAAACAGTTCAATGGTGCAAGATTACCATACACAGAATTAGGATATCTGCATGACACATCTATGCTATACAGCGAATGGATTATAATTATTACAAATACAGTAAACATATTTACATTTGAATTCAAGCTCCATACAACACGGATATTTACAAAATAAGTATGAAAATGAAACCAGTCTAACAAATAATGTACAGTGTTAATGTCGTGGTTTGTCGTTTTCTTTTGTGAACTAATCCAGAGGGAACGCAGTAAACTAATATTATAATGTCAGGAGGGGAGATGGAGAATATCATGGGTGGTTTTGTTTTGCAAGGCATCAACGGAAGAAAGAAAAAAAAACTGTGTTGTGAAGAAAGACACCAGCACAACATTACTAAACTGTCTTTTAAGATGTCATGAGCTACTTTGTATTATATTCCCTGATATTAGAAAAAAATGAAAAGGAGTTAAAACCACTCTTGTTTTGGTTATAATTCAAGTGGCTGGAGTAAATATTCTTAAAGTCCAAAGCAAACTTTCAATCAAACTACTTTCTCATAAAAAGGAAGCAGTAATGTAACTCACCTCCTCTGAAAAAGAGGCAGTGAGAAACAAATTAGTTCTCTTTTCATCTATTTTTTTTCAAACGCAGGAAAAACACTTCATAGTACATTCAACGCTCTCCCAGTTCAGACCAGAAGAGGATGCCCCACCGTCATTTGGTTCACTCAGTAGAACAACTAAACTGCACAGTCTTTATTTGATCAGTTAGTTGAACCTTTTATTAATATGTGCAAAGAGCTGCAAACTAATATTTACATTGCAAACAATAAATACACAATCCAAAATAATACACCTCTGCAAAATAGTCAGTAAAGTGAAACCGTTTGCTCTGACAGGTCTTCATGTTGATATCTCTCACAGTACGCTGAGGTTAATGTGCTGCACTTAAAGCCTGATCAGTGCATAGATGGTTGTTCATTATTATTTTTCTAGACAGACCATTTTTTTTTCCAATTTCAAAAGTTTTTTGTTTCTCTGACTGGCAGGTTGGCCGACCTGAGGGCAGGCAAAATGTTTTCTATCCTTTAGAAAAAATTGAAGATACGTACCTAATAATTCCAATGATACTTGTAACAGGCGATGACTACCTCTGTTTCCTCCCACTCAACCCTAATGTCTTTACATAATATACACTGGGCTACTACTGGTTGGTTGGCCAGAGTTTGTATTGCCTCGCTGTATCACACTTGAAGAGACAGAGGCACCCTTTATTTTTGAGCCAATTGTAGCAGCTGTTTTGTACAGAGCAAATATTTCCACAAACAATATCAGAAATAAAACCTTTGTGTATATGTCGTCCCTTTAAATATCACTTCTTTCTTTCTCATAAATATTTATCCAGTGTAGCCTTGATATGTGCTCTAATCAGTGTTCCTGATACTCAGAAATAATCTTGGACTCAACATGTGTGATCTGCCCTTGTCTTGCTATAGATATGTGTTAATGTGCAAAATAAGGTTAAACACAAGTAAAGCTGGTTACAACTCAAGAAATCAATGCCCTCTGTTACATCTCGTATAAAACTTCACTGTGGAATGGTTAAAAGCATATTAGAAAAAAAACAATGTTAATAATTTAAAAATAGGAAAGAAATGTCAACCCAATGAGTTAGATGAGTTTAAATTCAAGAACACAAATATAAAATGAACACGTGGTAACCTGTGGTGCTGATGAACAGTAAGTACTTCACTATCATGACAGTGAGGGGAGTCATGGGACCGTTCACTATCTGTCCTGCAGGCTATGAGCTAGCAGCTTCATCACTTATCTTCTGGCTTCAAGGCTAGAGCATTGCAACTTCATTCTCTTTCTTACTCGCTTTTCCCCAGGTGTTTTTTTGTCTTCGGTATCACAAGTACAGTTAACTAAATACTCTCAACATCCTAGGAAAGGAAGGAGGCCTAGAGGAATGTCTTACATTTGAGTTAACTACCACACTGATTCCAGTACAGACGTTATGTACAAATGATATTCTCACTTTAGAGTACTATCCGTCTTCCTCCTCCTCTACAAAACCTGTTTCTTGAGATGAAATAGCAAAAGGACAGGGACAAATATCTACTCCAAGCAGGAACAATCCATTGTCACATTTTCACTGCTGAGATATGAAATGTTCTTTACACATGTTTGCATGTTAGCGTGTATTTTCGATGTTGACACAAATGCATGATTGTAAGAAATCACTGGCTGACGGCACTATAGGGGTTGGCGATGGTGAATGTGCACGGACTGGGCGGGGTCTATATATTACATGGATGACAGTAGGAACCCAGCGCTGCCTAAGGTCTTGCTGAGACACAATTTTCAGACATTTTGCTTCTAAAGGTTGTTTAGTAGACGGCAGAGGGGAGCTACAGGGGGCATCCTATTGCAAATCTCATTAAGAGAAGAAAAACCTATGAATTCATTAGCAGCAATAGATCTTGAATTAGCCTTGCCTTCTGTAGCAGAACGTGAACTGATACGCCACTTTAGGAGATATTTGTATATTTTCCTTTCACGGTTTAAACTTTAAGTTATCTGATTTACATTTATTTTAGGTAAGCAAAACTGGTTTTCTCCTGAGGACTGCTGCAGTTATCATGCGGGCATATTAATAAAAAAAAATAGTTAAACTCTTCTGTGGAGACAGATAACATTGATATAGACAATTTCTTTACAGATGATTGGCAAACTGAAAATTAGTGTCCAGAAAGAACAGTTTCTGAAGAATCGTGCACACAGAAGTAGACTATTACAACATGCTACTAGTTAGGGAGTTAGGGAGTGACAACAAAGCAAATCAAATTAGACCCAAACATTGTTTTAAAAACAAAAACACAAAAAGCGGAGGAGCAGGGGGAGAGCAATAGAGAGGAGGAAGGCTAAGTTGGCATAGGGATGTGGGAGGGAGCGGGGGAGGCAAATGTATCTGGAACTGAAACTTTTAGTCGCATGAAAGGAGACTCAAGCCACAAGTCTACTTACAAGAGAAAACTGTCAAGAATCACAATGATTAATAAGTGTTAACACTCGGTTTGTTCAAAAGGCTTTCCAGAAAGAGAGGAAGCCGTTGTTTTTCTGAGTGCCGCTCGACCCACTCAGTTCTTAATCGGGCCGCCGCGCCTCCTCGCCAGCTTAGATCTGTGGAAACAGAGTTGAGTGTTGTGACAAGATGGCAACAAAGCTTCCAGCTAAGGGAAGAGTAAGAGAAGTGTCTGTGCGTACCTTATTGTTCCTGCCAGCAGGGGGTTAAAAGCGTACAGCCAGTCGTTCATGTCTTTCTCGTTGTTGGCCTGCAGGAGGATTCCTCTGTGTTTTGTGCACACAGCAAATGTGTTGGGAGTCTGAAAAGTAAACAACAATATTTGTCATGCTGAACCTTTTCCTTTTTGCTATAGATGAGTGTAACACCTACGTCACTTCCGGGCGAAAATTACGGCCCCGCCCACTTTTTGGTTGGTTTCCCCCAAAAGTGGGCGGAGCCTTACTTTTTGCTCAGAAGTGACACATGTGTTACTCTCATATATATAGTTTAAGGTTGCAGAAGGAGAAGAGATTTTAAAAGTTATTATATTTTTGCCAAATGTTTGTAAAAGAATGATAAACCTTTCTCTGAAAATGATTGTGTGTTTATTTAGAAGCAGAAATACACTCGGCGTGTTTCCCCTACCTTGAGCATGGCCTGCTGGTCTTCACTGTACTCCACCTGAGCTGTGGAGAGGTTGAGGACCCCCCGCTCCACCGGGTCCTTGTCGCTGTTGTAGATGAAGACATAGGGGCGGCGCACAACCACAAAGTGCTTCACCCACGAGTTGGAGCGCGGCTCCATGAAGCTTAGGAAACCTTTTTTGGAAACTACAGATCTAAAAAGGAGAAGAAAAAAAGAGCAGTCAGGAAAACTCCTTTGTTTGATGCAGTGCTTGTTTTCTGTGAAAGACAATTTAGTTCACCCAGGTTCAGGAATCAATTCAAATGATATCTGCTTGGATTGTAAAACAGGATTATCTTTTTTTGTTTGTGCTACAATATGCAGCACATTTTTTAAATGACTTCACTGCAGCACTCACCCTGGCCTCATTTCTTCAATATCAGGCACCAAGTTGAGGAACTCTTTCTTTCCAGCGCGTGCTAGGTAGGACGTCTCCGGACTGGGAACCATGGGGAAGTTTTCATAGTCCGAGCAGGAGGGACTGGAGGCACGGGAGCTGTTCTCTGGGGTCCTGAGGAGCAAAGCACACTCAGTCAGCATCTTGATCATGACAATAGACATCCCCAATAACAAAGAGGAATTTAGTATAAAGTATAGAGTTTTACTTCTGGTCCATGGATCCACAGCGTGAGTCGGACAGAGAGGGGCAGGTGGAGGAGGGGGTGAGGGTGGCGCTGCTGAAGCTCTGGACTGATGGGTCCCGTCCCATTGGGGAGATGTCAGACAGCTGGGAGGAAGGATGATGAAATATATTTCACACACAGTTTTCTGTTTCCAGGACAAACAAACACTGCAAGTGGAAAAATACTACGGCTGTTCCAAATGTTTTGTTTTCAAGCTTATCTTTTTATATAGTCCATCAAAAAACATGTGATAGACCATTTTGACTTCAAAGCGCTCTGGAGTTACTTGAAATGTTTGCACACACAAATTGGAAACAATCCTCAGCAGCCACCACTGGAATCTTATTAAATAGATAGTAAGCTATAAGACTTATAATATTACATTAGCTTGTAGCCTTTAACTGCACATGTTCAGAAATACCAAGTTCCAATGAATAGGCATGCAAAATAAAAAAGCTACACAGCATTTAAATGTTGATTTTAACTTAGAAATGTTAGCTTTAAACTATTCACTACAGCGCTAAATTAAATCAAGTTATTGTTTGGAGAGTGCACTGCTGATACTAAAGTAAGTACGAGGGGACAAAAAGTAGATGTATATTTAGGGGTCACTTGCCTACTTGGTAATTCTCTACAGAATATGACTTAAAGCTAAACCGAACCATGAAGACGTTTAAAGTACTTTTAAAGTAAACATTTAATTCAGTCATTACTCACCTTGCAGTCACTAATGCTGTTGACCAATTGGTTGTATTCACTGTTGAAGCTATGTGTCAGGAGGCGCAAGCACTACAACAGAACAAAGATGAGACTGATTTGTACACAGCAGAGGAGGAGAGGTGATGACTATGCAGCACACTGTAAATATTTCACATGTCAGCATCCCATAATACAGCAGTCGCCCTCACCTTAGTAGCCAGCTCCTTCTCACGATCCACCAGGCTCTCAATGTCGGCCGAGTCGTAGCCGCTGCTCTCGCTGGGCGTGATGGCGCTCTCGAAGGTGGTGCTGGAGATCTGCGAGGAGATGGAGGTGGAGGTGGACAGGCTGCCGGTGCTCATGCTGGGGGACAGCAGCTCGCTCAGGGACTTGGTGGGGGGGGCTGTTCCTACCGGAGCATCGTCTCCCAGCCTCTCCCTCAGCAGGAGCAGGTGACGGGTCTTCTCCACCTGGACCAATGACAGGGGGGCGTTTAAGTTTACAACGCAGGAAGAACTTTGAAAGTTGGTATTTTTGTCTTTGTGGGATATTAGACAAGGGCAAAGCAGGGAGACACTTTTTATGCTGCTATGGACAGTCTTTGCACTAATGTACATTTATACCAACTATGTGCAATATATATATATATATATATGCCATTAATAACTGTGCAATATATACCTGGCTGCTACATCTTCAGAACTGTTACGGGATGTGTATTTTGTAAATTGTGTAATGTTTCAATTGTTTTTATCTTTAATATTTTTTTGTATGCATGCTTCTTGTTAACATTAAGCTCTCTTTGACTCTTTTCTGCTGTAACAAATGTACATCTCCCCTCTGTGGGACGAATAAAAGTATTCTGATTTTCTTTACAGTTTTTGAAGTGACTGTTATTTTATATATATATTGATTGTTGCTTTTATTTATGTCTTTAATGTGTGCATATGTACAAATGTGTCTGTTGATTATGTATGTATATATGTATGTGTATATATATATATATATATATATTTGTATCTTGTACTCCTCAGGATTGTGGGAAACGGTTGAAACGGGAAAAAATTGACAATAAAGTTGACTTTGAGGGAGACGAGGGAAAGCTTTGAAAGGTCAAAAGAGGGATGTTTTTGTTTTACTTTAAGAATGCAGATGACCTTTGAGGACCTACCTCATGCAGCTGCTCCATTTTCTCCAGCTCCCATTGGTGCTCCAGGATGAGGCTGTCTCCTCTGGGCCTCCAGCCAGCCAGGTTCTCCTCTCCACGCACGTAGGCCACCGATGTGTCCAGGATCTTCCTCCTCCTCCGCTGCATCCCTGTTCAGGACATAAGCACTCTTTAGGACAAACTGAGAGGAATCGGGAATAAGTAGCAGCCTCTTTTTGTTTTGTCTGCTCACCTGGGCTGCCTGTGTCGGACATCTTACACAAGCTCAGCTCGTAGATGCCAGTGACGCGATTGCTGTAATGAAACAAAGGAGATTCTGTATTATTCTGTTGTATACTTTAAAAGTCACATTTTATTGAAAGAATACATGTTACAATTTTCTAAATGTACTACATATCTTATTTTACAAATAATCTGCTTTAATCCATATGTGTTGGCGTTAAGCTTTTCAAAAACAACATTATGACTATATATTAAAGAGACTGGAAAAAAAACATCCTCCTTAATGCAAAAAGGGAGGCAAGCACTTATGATTTATTTTCATTAAAAAAACAAGACAGATGAGGATATACATTTTTTTTTACTAAAAAGTTCTAAAAAACAACAACATTTGGAACAGCCCTAGATATATTTAATCCCACTGACACAAAATGCTGTGTAAAATCTTACCAGTCAGGGGTTTTGGAGTATCCACTCCCGAAGAGGTTCCTGAGGGAACGTGGGGGGGAGATCTTTGCGTCTCTTGAGTAGAAGACCATGCAGATGTCTTTGGTAATAATAGCAGGCTGGATGCAGTGGTCCAGCTGTGAAGAGGAGACAGAGAGTATGTTTGATTTTCTTCCTGTATGTTCCTGCCTGTGTACATGACATAAGCTGCTGCTCATAACCAATTGCCCATTGCAGGATTAATAAAGTTGTTGATGGATGGAGGGGTCTCGGGAACGTCGTAGTGGATGTACGGAGGCGGAAGAGCTGGGTTAACCAGAAGGGGAGTAAGTGGCAACTTCGATGACGCAGGTCTCCGCGGTTCGTTGAGTGTGTGTGCTTGTTGTGTCTAGCTCTGGGACTGAAACATTGTGTCGTCTCCTCCGTGCGTGCGCGACTGACGTGTGAGCGTGCGTGTGGGACATTTGGATAAGGAGTGTAGGAGGGTCGTAGGGTATTTAGGTGGTCATTCCTTGGCGGGGGGGCGGTTGCGGAGCGGGGAGATGGAACATCATTCGGGTCGGGAAGGAAGAGTGCTAGGTGGTCCGAGAGTTACAGCCGGGCTCAGCTCGCGACGGGAGGACGACCCCGCACTACCGCGAGAGCGTGTGTTGTCCGACGACGACCTCTAGACGCTTCCTCAGGAGCGTGCGCGGAGCGCTCGCACCGTGTGGCGGCGGGAGCGGCGACGAGGTAGGGGCGACCCCCTGTCGTCGAGCGAGTCACCTGAACCACCCCCCACGACAAAAAGGATGGCCTCGTAGCAGAGGGTCGAGAGGGAGTCGTCCTCTGTCCACCTGCGCCAGGAAGAGGTGGACCTGGTTACTTGTCCCCCCGCAAATTCAAATGTTGCGTCCTTCTTGAAACTTTTCAACCATAAGAACGAAACCACCTACCATCTGTCTCGTTTCGTCCCTCTAGTGAAAAATACGACTATACCTGTGCAGAAACGTGATTACATAGTAAATATGTTTGATACACGTTATATATTGGATGGGATAGGATGAGTGGGGCGCTAGGCGGGTGAGAGTTAGGTGTGAGCAGCGTTGAGGTGATAATGGGAGCGCGACGATGGTAGAAGTCGTTTCGACAATCGCGCGGCGTAGAGCGAGGTAAGGAGACGATTGAAGCGAGCCATTGCGAGGCGTTAACAAAAAATAGAATTATAAAAAAACATACGTACGGAAGAAACAAATTGTAATTCGCCGAGAGAAGACTGAGGAAAAGACGACATTGTTTACAGTAGAGCGGGGAGACACCGTGCTTATTTTCATTAAGACTAAAAGAAAGTGTCAAAACTTTCACGTGACAGAGTAGAGGAATATGTTATGGGGAGGTGGAGGTGGAACTGAGACGGGAGCGAGAGGAGATAGGAGGATGGAGCGAAGGGATTAGGCGAGCCGGGCGTAGTGGCGTGGTGGGTTACACAGAGAGACTTGGGAAGTGTAGCGGAAGTGCGATGAGGGTGTGCGAGTGGAATGGGGTGGGAGGTGGGGAGTGGAGTGAGTGGATGATGATATGGGGGGATGGGGGGAGGTGAGAAGAGCGAGTAAGAGACATCGAGGAGGGGTCCTAAGCGAGCCCTTTGGGCAGACTGGTGTGCGCGGGGCGGCTTTTGTTGAGCGTGTTGGAGGTTGGGTGGCAGGACTTGGAAGAGGGGCTCGGGCCGTGCTCGCGGGTGCCGCGTGTGTGCGAGAGAGCTGTGGTGCCAGTGTGTGTGCGTCGCCCTAGTGAGGGGGGGGGGGCGGGGAGGGGGGGGGGGGGGGGGGGGCGGGGGGGGGGTGTGTGTGTGTGGTGTGGTGTTTGGGTGGTGGGGTGGTGTGTGGGTGTTGTGTGGGTGGGTTGGGTTTGGTGTGGTGGTGGTGGGTGTGGGTGTGGGGTGTGGTGGGGGTGGGGTTGTTTTTGTGTGTGTGTGGGTGTGTGGGGTTGGGGTGGGGTGTGTGTTGTGGGTGGTGGTGGTGGTGGGGGGAAACAAAATGAACATGTCTTTGAGCGCGCGTGCTACTGGAAACTCCTGGATTTTGGAGTTCGGTCGACGAGTAAAAACGGAGGTCGAGCGGTAACCACGAGTCCTACTCCGACAGATGAGACCGGAGGTTAGGTCGGTTCCAAGAGCGAGAGGTCGCGTGCATCCGGTTGGCTACACAGGTCCTACGAAGGAGGAGAGAGCCGACGTTAGGGACAAGTCACTTACTCTAGTCGAGAAATCCTGTCTTGACTCTCCTTTAGCTCCTTACTTCATCGTCGAGTTAAAAACAAACAGACGAGTGGACCCCCGACGGACACAGCCTGTAGAATGTGTTTCGAGTCGAGCATCTACGGTCACTGCGCGTACGACATTTACTTTGTTTCCTCTAAGACATAATAAGACAACATTATGAAATTTTCAGGTGTAAAATAACTTTCTATATGTACAATCGTTAAAAGTTTACAGTGATGTATAGGAATAAAATGGTTTATTAGACGAAATTAGGGTATACACGAGGAGCCGCGCAATTCGGAAAAGTTTTTTGTTGTAATACGTCGTATATAAGTGTGGTGCTGCTGAGGCCTTTGTTTTTGTAGTAGCGAATTTACAGTTTTTCCGCTCCGTTCGGTGAAGTACTAGAGAGTAGGGAAAGTAATTGTTTTTTGTGTCTGTCTACTGCCGTATTGGGATGGGGTAAAAAGGAAAAATTTTGATTTTTATCAAGTTTTTTTGTTTTGTTTTTTTGTAAACTTAGTCGGGATCTATATAAATTAGCGGGGTGACTGTGTGTTTTACCGACACATATTTAGAAATGGGTCAGGTCGGCCCAAAGACCTCATTTTGAGGGTGAGGCTTCTCCCTAACGGACTCGCGCTTGCACCCCCCCTCTAGAAAACGCAGAGAACTCATCTTCGTGGTACTCGGTACAGAGACCATATAGTTATCCGTCGACCATAAGTCACCGGGTCGACACTTCTCCTCCATGTCTCTTCATACAAACTAAAAGAAGCGACATACAAGCGACGGACACATGTACTGGTATTCGACGACGAGTATTTGGTTAACCGCGGTAACGTTGCCTTAATTTTATTTTCAGACAACTAACTAAACGAACTAGCGATGTCGAATTACGTCTTGTAAAGGTTGTGTAAGCCTCGTTACTAGAGCTGAGGTCTATACCCGTCTGTCGCCAGTACATCTAAGAGAGTATTCCTCCTGAGCCAAAATGTCTTTCCCTCAACGTCCCTGGCGCAGCGTGTGACCGGAGCTTTCCCGCCATCTATTCAGACTTTCCTCTTCGGGTTTTTATTATAAATTAATAGTTGTTGTACTCTCTTTTAAAGTGAATGGATTACAATGGAGGATTTATCGGATGAATACTTCGAGGATTAGTCCGACACAATTATGTCTCTCACATCCTATAACGACGTCGTGTCCTAATTTGATGTTCGTTTGTTGGATTCAGATTAAAACCATTCATTGGTTGTAGTAAGTCTTACACTGGAAATACACCAATGATGGTTTTAATCTGATCAACCAAACGAACATTCAAATTAGTGACGACGTCGTTTTATAGGATGTGAGAGACAATAATTGTGTCGTTGACTAATCCTTGAATAATTTCCCGATAATCTCTATTGTAATCCATTCACTAAAGAGAGCACAACAACTATTAATGTTAATATAACCAACCACGATAGGAAGTCCTGAAGATGGCGAAGCTCCGTCACACCCTGTCGAGGACGTTAGTTGAGGGAAGCGATTTGGCTCAGTGAGGAATACCTCTCTTTTAGAATGTACTGGGACAGGACGTATAGACCTCAGTCAGTAACGAGGCTTACAACCAACCTTTACAAGACGTAATTCGACATCCA